CATGCGGAGAGATCGAAACAAAACAACGGTCACTAATTAGAAGTACAAAACGATGATTTGTAAAGAAGAATGTCGGAGGATTTCGATATAAGCCAAGAGGAGACTGGTTTTCCTTTGCTAAAGTAAGGAAACTTTGCTTCCTTTGATCCTGTAAACACGAGACTCACCGGCGCATGCGCAGCACTGACCTCATATGTCATTCCCCCGGAACGGCTTCTGTGTACAACTGTTGGCGCAAGCTAGATTCAAGTGATTATTACGTTCTGAATATGGATATTTTTCTTACAAAAACGCATCGATTCGCTACAGGAGGCCTTTGTTCACCCCCCGGAGCCGTGTGAGACACTTTTTTTTGTGGAAGGGTGCTTTTTATTTCACGTCTTTTGGACTGAAGGAATGCAACACCCGCTGAGTACAACGATAGAGCTTGAAAGATCAAAGACCATTTTTAATATAACTCCGACTGGATTCGTCTGAAAGAAGAAAGTCATATACACCTAGGATGCATCGGGGGTGAGTAAAACACAGCCTAATTTTTATTTTTGGGTGAACTAACCCTTTAAGAGCTTGTTTTTTTCCAGCAGTCATACTGACTTCAGCATTATAGTCATAGTCCAGCAGGGGGAAATTTAGAGAAAAATGCCTCTGGTGACAAACTGGAAGTCTGTTTATCTAATGAGGACACTTGAGAGCTGCTGAATAATCCCATGCTGATGTTGAACATGTCTCACAGCAGCAGAGCATACATCATCCTGACTGTAAATATGATGAAGCGGAACTAAAGCACGCAAGACAGAGGATGTGACTGTGTCTGATGGGAAAACGCCGTGTATTCCTGAAGACAGTTCATGCATTCATGATTTACATTTGAATGTGAAGTGAAATTCATGAGGATTCATTTACTAATGAGGGATCTAGATACCTGCTATTCAGTGAAAACCTGAGAGGTTACAATGCATATGATCTGACCTGCTCGCAGCCCGCGATGATGCAGCAGCAGAGGTGGCCGCAGGGTTTGGGGTTAATCATAGTGGGCATGTGTTCCTTGGCCATCAGGTCTGTGTAGAACTTTTTGCTGCGTTCTGCCTTTTTCCTGAAGAAGACAAAGTCGAGAACATAGATGAGTCTGATTTCTAATGTTTTTTGTTGCAGTTTCCATGAATAAGGTACAAAAAAAGTAAATTTTCTGTTCTTTTCCAACAAAAGGTCAGTGACAGTGTTAATTTCTTCGTCAACGACATTTTTTTCACCGACGACAACTAGACGATAACGAACTAAAACTCTTTTTGAATGACAAAAACTATGACGTAAATCTATTGACATTTTCGTCAACGAATAAAAACGAGACGAAAATGTTAGGGAGGGACGATTTGGGAAGAGATTCATTCAGAACGAATCTGCTGCGTGGTTCGGAGGTTAGATATATGAATCAGCGGGCCGGGAAATAAGCTAACATACACTTGCTGCACGTCACAAGAGAGAACTCAATTCGGTCCGGTTTTCTGAACGCAGACACTGAAGCATACTCGTTTTGACGAGTATTCACGTAAACACAGTTGATTACGTCTTAAGTGAACGTAAACAGTAGGGAGAATGTGTATCAGTACATTGCATCCATTGCAGCTGTGCATT